GGGTTTCACCATGTTGACCAGGATGGTCTCGATCTCTTGACCTTGTGATCCACCCGCCTCGGCCTCCCAAAGTGCTGGGATTACAGGCTTGAGCCACCGCGCCCGGCCTATGGGATTTCTTTTTGAGGTAATGAAAATATTCTAAAATTGATTGTAGTGGTAGTTACACAGTTCTGTGAATATAATAAAACCATTGAATTGTACATGTCAAATGGGTCAATTGTATAGTATAAGAATTTATATCTTAATACAACTGTTATAAAAAGTCATGGTATGAGATTTTTTGACAATGTCCATGGCAAATCCTCTTACCTCTGTTCTTTTTAAACATTGTTTTGACTGGCCAGACCTGGTGGCTCATGCCTGTAATCCCAGCACTTTGGGAGTTCCTGCATCACCTGAGGTCAGGAATTTGGGACCAGCTTGACTGATATGGTGAAACCACATCTCTACTAAAAATCCAAACATTAGCTGGGTGTGGTGGTGGGGACCTGTAGTCTCAGCTTCTTGGAACGTTGAAACAGGAGAATTACTTGAACGTGGGAGGTGGTGGTTGCAGTGATCCCAGATTGTGCCACTGCACTCCAGCCTGGGTGACAAAGCGAAACTCCGTCTAAAAAAAAAAATTGTTTTGACTGTATATGGTTCTTCGTTTTTCCATATAAATTTTAATACCATCTTGTTAAGCTCCACACAAAATTATATTGGGATTTTGGTTAGAATTTTATTGTATTTATACATTTGTTTGGAGGCAGATGATACCATTTTGACACGCATTGAAAATATGCACAAGAAATAGGACCTATGAATGTGTTATTTCACTTCATTGATCTTTTTAAAGTTTTTTTAAAAAGATCTTTTTGTGTTTTCTCCAGAAAGATAATTCACATCTTTTGTTACACTTATTTATTCCCAAGTACCTTTTAGTTTTTATTGCTACTGTAAATGGTATTTTTAATAACACTTTTTACTTGTTGCTGGGGGATGGAAATGTTGATTTTTATATAGTGGTGTTATAGCTAGCAACTTAGTTGAATTCTCTTATTTTATTTTATTTTTTTGTAGAGACAGGGTTTCACCATGTTGGCCAAGCTGATCTTGAACTTCTGGCTTCAAGTGATGAATCCGCCTTGGCCTCCCAAAGTGCTAGGATTACAGTCATGAGCCACCGTGCCCGGCTGAATTCTCTTATTTTAATTTCTATATTATCTTTGATTTTCTGCCTATAAATATCACATTTATCTACTTATACTACTGTAATGTATTTTTAATTTTTTGTCTTAATTCTTCAGCTAGGATTACTAGTGTAATGTTGAATAGAAGTAGTTATAGTTGGTATCTTGTCTTGTTTCTAGTTGCAAAGGGGATGCTTTGAGCAGTTTATCATACAGTATGATTATTGATATATAACAGGGATTGACATCTGGCCTAAATAAAATTTTATTGGAACACAGCCATGCTTATTCATTTACATATGGTCCATGGCTGCTTTGATGATACAACAGCATGTTTCAATAGTTCTGACAGAGACTCTAATGTCCTCAAAGCCTAAATATTTACTATCTGGCGCTTTTAGTAAAAATTTGCCCATCCCTCCTCTAGAGTTTTGATATCTTAATAATACATTAAGGAATTTATGTTCTACTTCTGTCATTAAAATTTTTTTAAAATCATAAATACTGAAGTTTATAAATACCTTTTGTGATCCTCTTGTAGTTCATAAGCATGATAATTGGATGTTGAATTGTGATCAGAACATTCTCTGTTACTACTTGTTGAGATTTGCTTTAAAGCGAAGTATATGGTCAGTTTTTGTAAATATTCTATGTGAAAGAGTTGCTAAGAATTGCCAGAAGACCAGTAACTGTAGAAAATAGGCAAAGATTATGAAGTCTTTTCACAGAAAGTCAAATAAGCTTATGCTTATTTAATGCTTAAGCACCTCACTCATAAGAGAAATGCCACATTAGTTCTACATGTTGATACTGCTTTTTCACTTTTCAGATAAGCCAACAACAACAAAAAAATTCAAAATGAAATGCTTAAATAGCATACTATTTGAGGATGATGGGAAGTAAGCAGTCTTTATGCACTCACTGCAGTTAGAAGTGGGATATATATGATCACAACTTCTGTGGAGGAAATTTGACAACATTTGTCAAAATTACAAATATATATACTTCAGCAATTCCACTTCTAGGAATTTATTGTAAAGTTTTATTTCATATAAAATTATGTTTGTTCAAAATAGAAAAAGAAAAATCCAGGTATCCCAGACTTGTTAAATGGTTCCTGAGATGGAATACTACTATAAAACCTATAAAACGAGTAAGGATGCTTTCTGTATTGGAAAAAAAAGTCACAAAAGAGATTTTGTTTTTGTTTGTTTTTGAGGCAGAGACTTGCTGTGTCACCCAGGCCGGAGTGCAGTGACACGATCTTGGCTTACTGGGACGTTCACCTTCCAGTTTTAAGCAATTCTCGTGCCTCAGCCTGCCGAGTAGCTGGGATTACAGGCGGGTACCACCATGCCCACTTACTTTTTGTGTATTTTGTAGAGATGGGATTTCGCATGTTGGTCAGGCTGGTCTCAAGCTCCTGGCCTCAAGTGACCCGCCCACATCGGCCTCCCAAAGTGCTGGGATTACAGGTGCGTGAGCCACCTTACCTGGCTACAAAAGATATATTATTAAATGAAAAAAATCAAGATGGTGATTGTGTATTACAGTGTGCTGCTACTTGTACAAAAGAAAAGGCAGGGAATAGTTATGTTTACTTATATCTGCTAGTTTTGGGATAAAGAAACATTAAAACATGCACAAGAAACTAGTCATTATTGTATTATGGGGGTGAGGGAACTGAGCAGACGTGGAACAAGGGTGTATGTATGTGTTTTATTTTTGAGCTGTGTGATCATATTAAAATTTTAAAACTCCCAGTGTGATGTTAGATTTGTCAGTTACATTGTATAGTTATTTGGACATTTGCTTTATGTACTTAAGGCTCTGTTATGAGGGACACCCAAGTTCAAAATTGATCTGCAGTTAAACCCATACTTTTATCTTGTAGCTACTTTAAAAAAAATCACTGATGCTTTTTGTTAGTTTTTTCTTTTCTTCTCATTAATATGTTAGATGTATTATGTTATGTTTGGTATATCTTTTCCCATTCTTTTAATTTCAGATATTTTGTGTATAATATATAACTGCATTAAAAATTTAATCTAACATTTGTCTGTTTATTGTAGAATCCATTAATTTACATGTATTGTTAGATATTTGAACATTTCTGTCTTATTTTGTCCTTTTCATTATGCTTTTTCAGTGCTGTTATACTTTTTTCTCTTTCAGATTGAATGAATTAATCTGTTTTTTTCCCCTCTACTTACCTAAATGTTATGTGTGTGTGTTTATATAATTTCATATTTATGTTCCTTTAATGATTTCTCTTAATATTTTAATATGGGTACTTAGAGCTTAAAATTAATATTTTACTCTTTCACGCGGTAAAGTAGACTTTAAAATACTTTTAATTGGCAACATCCTCTAACTCTTATTGGTACAAAAACAATTAATTTTACAATTGATGGCCACTTAGATTAGATGAAATGCAGTTCATCTACTCACAGTAGCTCTGTATATTAGGTGCATTATCAGCCCTCATTTTGCAGGTCAGAAAATTGAGTAACAGAGTAGTTAAGTGATTTATACAAAGTCACACAGATGGTAAACGTCAGGGCCAGGTTACAAATGGTTGATAATCCAGACAGTAATGATAATATTTAATTTGGGGGGTGGTAAAAGATAGCACTAAAATATTAAGACAGTGATTACATAAAATTAGTTAAATTGATCAGAGTTAAACTTGACAGGCTATCACTTCTAAGACAGTTTCAGAGATGTTAAAATATATCTTTGAACACTATCAGGCACAAAGGAAGTGTTAGGTCTTTTATAAGACATTTGTCCTTACAGAGAGGATATTATGTTTGCTTCCTTTCTGGTGGCGTTAAGTTAGGGAGCACTTGAAGTTAGTTATTTTGACTTACAATTTTTTTGCACCATGCCAGTAGCATGCAGTCAAACTCATAACCCATTAGTTGGCAGGCTTATAGTAATGAATTCTCAGGGGAGATCCTTCCTCCAATCAAAATCCAAGCTGAGGGAGCTAAGCTATTAGGACGCAGGCATAAGAATGATACAGTGATTAGCTAGGCATGGTGGCATTTGCCTGTAATCCCATTTACTTGGGAGGCTGAGGCAGGAGAATCACTTGAACTTGGAGGAAGAGATAGCAGTGAGCTGAGATCGTGCCACTGTACCACAGCCTGGGGAACAGAGCAAGACTTCCTCTTAAAAAAGAGAGAAAAAAAAGAACCATGCAATGGACTTTGGGAACTTGGGGGAAAGGGTAGGAGGGGGTTGAAGGAAAAAAGACTACACATATGGGGTACAGTGTATACTACTTGGGTGATGGGTGCACCTAAATCTCGGAAATCACCACTAAAGAACTTATCCGTGTAACCAAACACCACCTTTTCCTCCGAAACCTATTGAAATTTAAAAAAATTGACATATTTTAAATTAAAATAAAAGATTTAAAGTATGCATAAAAACATTCCAAAATACAGTGACTTGCTTGGAAAAAAAAAAACCACATGTGAACTGCACTGAGTGCTAAAGAAAAATTATACAAAATAGAACCTGATTAAAAATCATTTAATTTTTTATTAAAAATTAAATTTATATTAGTTAAATTTATTATTAATCAGCTAATACAAAGGTACAATCAGGGTTCTGGATTGATTCTAAAGCTGGAATCTCTGCCCTTTTCATTATGCCATGCTACATTTAGTGAAACCTAAACAATTTCTGACTTAGATAAAGGGCTTAGAATTGTAGCATACTGGGTTAAAAAAAGATCTGGCTGGGTGTGGGGGCTCATGCCTATAATCCCAGCACTTTGGGAGGCTGAGGTAGGAGGATCACATGTGGCCAGGAGTTTGAGACCATCCTGGCCAACATGGTAAAACCTTGTCTCTACTAAAATAAAAAGTTAGGCGGGCATGGTAGCGCACCCCTGTAATCCCAGCTACTCAGGAGCCTGAAGCAGGAGAATTGCTTGAACCTGGAAGGCCGAGGTTGCAGTGAGCTGAGATCGTGCCATTGCATTCCAGCCTGGATGACAGAGTGAGACTCTCAAAAAAAAAAAAAAAAGAAAAAGAATCAAAGCTGAGCCAGCCTTTCAAGGGTACCCGTTTTATTTGGAAGTCTTAGTTCTAACATACTTCTTGGTAATACTGAGACTTTGTCTTCTGTTCTCTAAGAAGTCTTTAAAATCCAAGCCTCTCTTAATTCTCAGGGCAGGTGTGGCCTTGGTTTTACGCTGGGTATTTGACCACTGAAACTTCCCCAATTTTCTTACCAGCTTAGCCATGAATTTTAAAGAACACGTGTTATATTTATGCTGACTTTTTTAAGAAGATAGCTTTTCAGGCAGTTGTGTCTGCTGTATTTTATATTATATTCTTGGAATATATATGTATATATTTTATATTTTTGGAATATAAAATTCTGGAAACAAGCTTTTAGTAATACCTTTAAAAATGGTCATTTCTATAGCTTTGGCTTTGTTTTTGTTTGTTTTTGACAGAGTATTGCTCTGTTGCCCAAGCTGGAGTGTGGTGGCACAATCTCGGCTCACTGCAACCTCCATCTCCCAGGTTCAAGTGATTCTCCTGCCTCAGCCTCCTGAGTAGCAGAGACTACAGGAGCACACCACCACACCTGGCTAATTTTTGTATTTTTAGTAGAGACAGGGTCTAACCATGTCGGGCAGGCTAGTCTGGCTTTGGTTTTTATTGTTTCATGATCATAGATTATATTGAATAATGGTATTCTCATTATTTTATTTTTAACTGTGAGGGCTGGATGAACTACGTGTACTTTTAATCCTTACTTAAATTCCAGTTCTTCTCTTTTGGCACACAGCATTTTAGAAGCCTACCAGTAGTAGTTTGAAGTCTCAAGTCAACTAGATTTGACACTTACAATATCATAATTCTAAAATGTAACTTTTGAAGTTAGTCTTCAGTGTTGTATTCCTAACTCCAGTATTGAAAATATATGTTAAAGGGTAAGAATGAGATGGCTAGATTTGACTGAGGTTGATTGAATAAAAAGATAACTTCCTGGAAAATCACATATTCAAACTGTTTGCATCAGTTGTAACTTCAGTAAAAACATCTTTTCCATTTTTTTTGTTTTAGGTTGACGCAAGAATTTTGTTTAGTAAACGCAGATTATGAATAACAAATTTTATGAATTTTATTCTGATTTAATAGATCAGATGAAAAGAAGAACATGAACTGGAAGCAACTTCCCAAAAAGCCATGCAAAAATTTACTTAGCACGTTAAAGAAATTGTATCCCCAGCTGTCTTCAGGTAATGTGAGAAAAAAGGAATATTGTTGATGAAGGAATGTGTAGGAGAAAATTCTGTTTAAATTTAAACATAGTAATACCATTTTCTGTTTTTATTTCCTTTGTTAGTTCACCGAAAAACTCAAGAAGGCTCAGCAATTGACATGACTCCAATTGAAGCAGATTTCTCCTGGCAAAAGAAGATGACACAGCTTGAGATGGAAGTTCAAGAGGCATTTTTACGCTTTATGGCATCTATTTTAAAAGGATATAGAGCATACCTCAGACCAATCACAGAGGCTCCTTCAAATAAAGCCACAGCTGCTGATTCATTATTTGACCGACAGGGTGAGTAGCATTGAAAATACAATTCCTTTTGTTGAAGTGAAAAATATTTTATATTTGTTGTTGCTGCCAAGAAATACTTATTGTATAAATTATTAAAAATTCATATTAAAATATAATGAACTTCCATGTTTATGTATCCTAGCTCTATGACTAGAATTTCTTGTCATTTTTGTATTCCACTTTTTTCCTGAGAAATTTGAAACTAGAGATATTTAGTTATGAAAAGTCAGAGATGTTGCCTATATTTACAATACCATGTAGTCAGTTATCTTAGTAGAACATAACTGATGAGTTCCCTAATTTGTATACTTTTTTTTTTTTTGAATAGAGCAGAGTCTTGCTATGTTGGCCAAGCAAGACTTGCTGGTCTCGAACTCCTGGCCTCAAGTGATCCTTCTCCCTCGGCTTTCCAAAATGCTGGGATTATAGGTGTGAGCCACTGCATTGGGCCAGATGTGTACACTCTTGGCTTTACAATTAGTGTGTGCACTGAGGCCACCACATTTTAAACATTTTTGACTAGTGTAGCTTTGTTCCAGGGAAAAACATATCTTCCTTAATTTTAGTGTGTTTTGTTTTAGGAAATTATAGAGACTTTTGTTGTTTTTCAGCTACTGCCATCTATGTAGGAGCAATCTTACATCTATATCAATATTCATATGAAATTATTTTACTTTTCTTTGTTTTTACCCAGTGATTACTTTAAAAAAAAAAATCTGTATTTTCCTAATAATCGTTTTGTCCTTTATCTTCTCTGCCTTAGGATAACTTATGGCTTAAATATTTAGTCACCACTTACTGGCTAATTATTATGTAGGAATATAAAGAAATATAAAACCTTGCTCTATGGGATCTTAAATGGAAAATAATTAAAATTTTTTAAAAATAGGTCAAGTACTCAAGAAAACATATTTGATGCAATTTTAATTTGGAAGTTTTAAGATTTAAAGAAAAGGGATATTCTTCCAAATATTACAATATTTCAAAATGGGTATTTTGAAAGACTTCATGGAGGAAGCATGACTTGGAAGAATGGGTGGAATGAAGATAAATGGAGAAGAGCAGGAAAGGCTTTCTGGAGGTCCATAGACATTAAGAGTCAAATCTGAGCTAGAATTTCTACTTTGTTATTTATAAAGTCTTTCTGGAGTTTATTAAAGTTTTCTTGACTAGGCGTGGTGGCTCATGCCTATAATCCCAACACTTTGGGAGACCGAGGCAGGCAAATCTCCTGAGGCCAGGAGTTCCAGACCAGGCTGGCCAACATGGCAAAACCCCGTTTCTACTAAAAATACAGAAATTAGGCAGGCATGGTGGCAGGCACCTGTAATCCCAGCTAATCAGGAGTCTGAGGCAGGAGAATTGCTTGAACCTGGGAGGTGGAGGTTGCAGTGAGCCAAGATCATGTCACTGCACTCTAGCCTGGGCAACAAAAACAAACTCCATCTCAAAAAAAAAAAAAGAAAAAAAAAATATATATATATATAAATTTTGAGGAGGACATCATTTCACTCGTAACAGCATGTTTAGGAAAAAAGATTAAATGGTACAATTTGACCAGAGTGATGAGCTTTAGAGGTGCTGTGGAAGATAAGACTGAATACAAGATTAGGGCTCAGGCTGTGGGTAGTTTTAAATGGCAGATGAAGAGTATAGATTGTACAGGAGTGACATCACTAAAGGAATTTGGAAAGAAACTCGGTTTCCAAGGCCTAAGATTTTATTGTAAACAGTTCAGCATTTGGTCTACTAGGGGACACAGACATTAGACGATAAAATAGCATATATACTAACTACATCTTAATAAGCGTATTGTGAAGGAAAGTATTGGTTACAGTGAGAGTGCTAGTTAGGAGAAATATTCCTTGAAGAGAAATATTTTTTGAAGAAATAACAAGGAATATTAGTGTCCTAAGGCATCCTTTAGTGTTCTGCTTTTAAGTTTGGGCCTAGAAAAGCCATAGGAATTAACTAGGAATTTTATATATGTGGTTTTAGCTTATTTTATCCTTGATGTTGTTTACCATTTCTTCTACCACTTGTATTTCCTGTAAACTTACGGTTCAAGAGCTGCAATGTTCACTAGAAATGTAATATAAGCCACATAGAGAGCCGGGCGCGGTGGCTCACGCCTGTAATCCCAGCACTTTGGGAGGCCGAGGCGGGTGGATCACGAGGTCAAGAGATCGAGACCATCCTGGTCAACA